CAAAGCCTTTATTGCCATCGCAAAGGACCAATTCATTGCTCCATTAAAATAATTATAACTGATAATAGACTTGAGTTTATAAACTCTGAAACTACTTTTTTCTTGCAATCTGAAGGCATTATACACCAAAAAACATGTCCCTACACACCCCAGCAGAATGGTATAGCAAAACGGAAATACAAGTACCTTTTAGAAACAGTCAGGGCACTGTTATATCAATCTAAGTTGCCATGCAATACTGGGAAGAATGCATTCTAACCTCAACCTATCTGATTAACAGACTTTTTTCTACTGCCTTTAAAAATAAATGCTCATTGGAGTTACTTTACAAAAGGAGACCTAACTATTCCTACCTTAAAAACTTTGGATTCCTTTGTTTTCCTATAACCCTCAAAACTCACAAAGACAAGTTTGAAGCAAGATCATTACCTCATGTTTTTGTGGGGTACCCCTTTGGGACAAAGGGATAAAGGTACTCAGTTTAGTCAAAAAGAGAATTCATATTTCAAGAGATGTTGTATTCCATAAATGTATTTTCTTTTGCTTTGTCTTCTAATTCTAATAAAGTTTTTCCTCATTTACACAAGTAAATTCAGAATTGGTACAAGATTTGTTTCCCCATCATGAGCCTGTCTCTCCTCCTAGCTCACCTAATCAACATCTTACAACTACGTCACCTGACTCCTCATCACCATGACCAAGTGAACCTAATTCTAATACAATTCCAAATTTTGAAGAATGTCTTTTACCCTCATTGCCTGATAGCCATCAGAATGAAATATCTATCAATAACACTCCCAATTCAATAATGCAACAACATAATAAAATATTAGGCAGACCCTCCAGAACACTCAAAGTCCCTACCTATTTGAGAGACTATAACTACTCACTCCCTAAATTACAAACAAACCACCTTAATTCTCCTCCCAGCAGCAACCAAAGTACTACCTTACTTTTTTTTAATGTTGTTATACCCAATCCCCAATATGTTTCACTCAATGCATTGAGTTCTGACAGTCAGCAATTGGTCAAAAAATCTCACATGAATCTGAGCCCAGTTCATATAAAGAAGCAACTACTAATCCTACATGGCAGACAATTATGAATCAGGAATTTGAAGCACTTTATGCCAACCATACTTGGAGCTTAGTGACACACTTCTAGATGGGAAAAGAACAATAGGATATAAATGGTATATAATATGAATTACAAGACAGATAGGAGCATAGAAAGATTCAAAGCAAGACTAGTGGTAAAGGGGTACACTCAATAGGTAGGGGTAGACTATACAGAATCTTTTTCACCAGTTGTGAAGATGATAATTGTAAGAGCTGTAATTGGGACATCAGTGAAGAAATGATGGAAGATCTTTCAACTGGATGTCAACAATGCATTCCTTCAAGGGAATCTCCACGAGGAAGTGTATATGGAAGTGCCTCCAGGTCTTGTTATGGAAAGACCAGACTTAATGTGTAAATTGAATAAGTCCTTATATGGACTGAAACAAACAAGCATGCAATGGTATGAAAAGTTGACTACAACACTTTGTTCCAGAAGATACACACTCCCTGCTTGACTACTCGCTGTTCTACAAGAAGCATGGAGCTTCAGTGATATTTGTGGCTATTTAATGTTCTGATAACAGGCACTGACTTAGAATAAATTGAAGCACTGAAAACTTTCTTACATGAGACCTTTAAGATAAAGGACCTAGGAAGGCTGCATTATTTCCCGGAGTTAGAAATTTTGTACAAGGATGATGGGGTACTGATACCCCAAAAGAAATTCACCATCGATCTATTGACAGAGTTTAATTGCACCAAATATTCTGCTTTGTCTTCACCACTTGAATCTTCAACTAAGCTAAGTGCATATGAGGGACCCCTACTGCCAGACCCCTCTCACTATAGAAGACTAGTAAGAAAGTTGAATTTTCTAACTAACACAAGGGTTGACATATCTTATAGTGTATAACATTTGAGTCAATACATGCAAAGTCCCAGGAAGTCATACCTGAAAGATGCATATCATGTACTAAGGCACCTTAAAGGTGATCCAAGTTTAGGGATCTTCCTATCCAATAGCAAAGACTATGTGGTTAGAGCTTTTTGTGACTCAGACTGGGTAACCTGCCCTGAGTCAAGGAAATCAGTTAGTGGATATATTGTGTTACTGGGTGTCAACCCTATCAGCTGGAAATCTAAGAAGCAAAACACTATTTCATTATCCTCAGCAGAAGCAGAATACAGATCAGTCAGACAAGTTGTGGGTGAATTAGTGTGGTTAGTTAGATTGCTTGAAGAATTGACAGTTTCCTTAACCTTGCTTGTCCTAATATTTTGTGATAGCCAAGCAACTCTCCATGTAACAAAGAATCTTGTGTTTCATGAACGTACAAAACACATAAAAGTAGACTGTCATTTTGTGAGGAATCAACTACATAATGGGCTCATCTCCTTACATCACATCTCTACACATGAATAGCTGGCATATATATTGACCAAGCCACTTAAAAGGATCAAACATTGCAATTTACTTAGCAAGTTGGTTGTAAGTCCCTCCCTTCCAACTTTGGGGGGGGGGGGGG